TCAACTCAGACCCTCAGAGCAAGGTTTTGGAATAATATATACCAAGCTCTGAAAGAAAATGGATGCCAGCTGAGAATACTCTACCCAGCAAAATTAAGCTTCAGAATTGACAATGAAATAAAAACCTTCCATGATAAACAAAAGTTAAAAGAATTCACAATTTGAAAGCCTACACTACAAAACATTCTCAACAAAATATTTCATAAAGAGGAACTAAAAGTGAAAACCAGCAAAGGGAGGAACTAACTAGAAGAATAGTTAATTGATTAAAGAAGAAACTAATTCAATGTAAAAACTAGAAATAAATCAAAATGGAAGGGAATAAAAATCATTTCTCAATAATAACATTTGTGGGAGGCCGCCATGTCATGTGACCAGCATTTTCCTTTCCTGATTGGTGATGCTCTGTTGGTCACTTGACCTGGCCTCATCAAAGTGGCCATAAACAGTGGTCCTGATCTTGAAAGTCATAAAATGTCGCCAAAAGTGTCTTCATGCATGGGCTGTGTTCCTACAGCCCCAGGGGTTAAGTTACCTTACTTGACCTTGTAACCCCGACCCTTTTGATCTTTATTGGATGAAACTTTCTAAAGAATGAGTCTCCCAAAAGTTCTTTCTCTCTCTCTCTCTCTCTCTATCTCTCTCTCTCCAGCCTCTCTGACATTCCTTGCTCTCCCATTTGGGGAGCTTGAGGCTGAGGGCGGAGAAGCCATCCTGGGCTTAAATTAAAGGTAAACTGTGTGTCTGTGTTTTATTTGATACCTTAGGAAATTCACTCTAGTGACCCCTAGTTTAGCCCACTGCGCGCTGGTCTAGGGTGGCAAACATTGAACGTAAATGGCCTAAGCCCATCAATCAAAAGACAGAGTGGCAGACTGGATTGAAAAACAAGACCTAACAATATGCTGTCTTCAAGAGACTCACCTTATAAGCAAAGACATTCATAAACTGAAGGTAAAAGGATGGAAAAAATCATATCATTCACATGGATCTCGTAAACAAGCTGGGGGTTTCTACCTTCATATCAGATAAAGTGGACTTCAAAAGCCAAGGTTAATCAGAAGGGAAAAGAAGGACATTTCATACTGTTTAAGGGAATGATACATCARCGATACACAACAATCGTAAATACTTGTGCCCAAACCATGGAGTATCTATGTGTATCAAACAAACCCTTTTCAGTTTCAAGAATCAAACAGACCAACACAATAATATTGAATAACTTTCACATGCCTCTGTCACCACTGGATAGATCCTCCAAACAAAAACTAAATAAATAAGTTATAGCTGGGCACACTGGCGCATGCCTGTAATCTCAGTGGCTCAGGAGGCTGAGGCAGGAGGATCGTAAGTTCAAAGCCAGTCTCAGCAACTCAGTGAGGCCCTAAGCAACTCAAGGAGACCCTGTCTCTAAATAAAATTTAAAAGGGCTGGGGATGTGCCCCTGGGTTCAATCTTTGATACCAAAAAAAAAAAAAAAAGAAGCTAGAGAACTAAAAAATATAATTGATAATTTACACTTGACAGACCTTGACAGACATATATGGAATATTTCATCTGTTAATGACTGAATACACTTTCTTCTCAGCCGCACATGGATCCTTCTTTAATACAGACCATAAGCTACCATATGTTAGCATGCAATTATAATATTACCTTAACATAATTTTAGCATCTGTAGGATTATTCTGATAGCTCCCTTTCCATTGATATTAATTTATGTGTTCTTACTTTTTCTTGATTAGACTTGTTTCACTTTTATCAACCTTTAGCTATATTATTTCTTCTCTATTTCACATATTTCTGCTCCTACTTATTTTTTCCTTCCTACTACCTAATTTGAAAATAATTTGTTTGTTAATCTAGCTTTTTTCTGATACAAGTACTTTAAGTTATTAATGTTCATCTGAGTATTGTTTTATCCCAGAGATTCTGATATTTTAAGCTTTTATTATTACTTAATTTAACACACTTTTTATTTACTTTTCTTGTTTTTTCTTCCTTGATCTGTGAGATATTTATAAGTGTGCCATTTAATTTTGAAGTAGTTGACATGTGGGAGTGAAGTTCTATATGTCTTTTTTTTTAAAAAAACTTTTTTTAATTGTAGATGGACACAATATCTTTGTTTTGTTTATTTTTTGTGGTGCTGAGGACTGAACCCAGTGCCTCACGCATGTGAGGCAAGCACTCAACCACTAAACTACAACCTCAGCCCCTACATATCTTAAGGTGGTTGCTTTCTAATATAATAAATCATGCAGGAAACACAGTCTGCATGATTTCAAATAAAAAAAAAGGCAAATGCTTTTTATATTGATTATACTGGTTACATGTGTCAAAACTGTTAAAATTTTATAAGTCAATAATGTGCATTTATTATATTTCAATTTTGCCTCAATATAGGTAAAAAAAATTTTAAAAAAGAAAAAAAAGAAGACCTGAGTTCAAGTTCTGACTCTCCTCTTACTGTGGGACAAAGTTCAAATGTYTGAACTTTCTCCCTTTTCTTATCTGTAAAATGAATATCCTTTCSACTCCAGTCCTTTTACTTAATGGGTACCTTTCCCTCAAATTACATAAAAGTTTATCCCCTATTAATATGAAGCTGGGTGTGGTGGCACAAGCCTATAATCCTAACAACTTGGGATGTTGAGGTAGGAGGCTTGCAAGTTTGAGGATAGCCTCAGCAACTTAGCGAGACTCTGTCTCAAAATAAAAAATAAAAAGGCCCAGGGATGTAGCTCAGTGGTAAAATGCCCCTGGGTTCCATCCTCGGTATAAGTAAGTAAATAAATTGGAAACTTCCTCTCTACCCAGAATCCTTCTCTAGATACTGTTATTTCTATCTTTCCTTTATAGCCAAGATGCATAGAAAGATAGTCTAATGCTTTCTCTACTTCCTTATTTCCTACATGTCTCAACCCCTGACAATCTGGCTTCAGCCCTTATCACTTGTGCTAATGTTAACTGGTGATCTCTCCTAATTGTCTAATAAAGGGTCACCTCTGTATCCTCATTCTATTGGCTTTCTCTATCTCTCTGATATGGTTCAGACAGCCCAAATACCTAGTTTCATTCCTGGAACAATAAAAAGGATCAACAAATGTTTGTGGAACGAATGATCAAATAAGTAAATGAAGCATTTAGAAAACTGCCAATTGTTATATAAACACTATCATATTACAATCAAACTGTTGAACAGGGAGATCTCAAGGACACTGTGCTGAAGTTCCATTTAAGAAAACATCATTTGACTTATTAGGTGGGAAAAAAAAAAAAGGAAGGTTTTGAAGGTTCTGTGCTCAACCTTAGAAACCTAGCTCCCATACTAGAGAACTACAAAGGACTTCAAGGAGGCAGACACCAAACAATAAGGGTCAAGCAGCTAAACTGGAGCCAGGGAAATGTGACCACTTCACTTCTAAATTTAGAACTCTGTCCAGTTAGATGGAAATAACCATGGTGTGATGGGAATAGTCCACAGTATTACCTACCTGTCCAGAGAGAATTCAATCTACAATCTACAGTGACCCCTATCCAGAGGCAAAATAAATTGAAAACACTGGCTGCTGACTCAGTGAAGCCCACATAAAGTGACTTGGGCTGTGGTACAGTAGGGTGTTGCTTCAGGCTTAGTCTGAAAGAACTGGAATCAACTTGTAATTACTTTTCTGTCCTCTATACAGGAATTTCAGACGCCTGGGATCTCCACAGAACAAATCTTTTTAAAAAWTTTTTATTCTTTAACCTCGGGCTTTTCAGGCTTACAATGACATAATTCCTTAGGGATTTTTACTTTGTTCTACATAATTATGCAAAACAGAATCTTACAGAAATGTAAAATGATTAGGGCTATAATATATTTTTAAGTAAGTTCATTTCCATCTTTCACTCTGATTTCTCTCACAGTGTGCACCAACACAAAGACCCAAGTAACTGATTTCTTTTCAAATGATATCCTTAGGAAATAGCCCTGGTGTTTAGGAATACTCTAACAGTTCCAAGAAAAATAAGAGAACACAGTTATAGCAGATAAGGAGTATACTGGGGGTTCTGTTAGGATAAATTCAACTTGACATAATCTCCAAGGACAGGTATCCTTGTCCATATCTTATTTATCATATTATACCTACAACTTCCATGATGTAAGAGTCATATTACTATGATACCAAGCATATACTATTAACTTTTCATTCTAAGAGAATTTTCTGTTACACATCTTCAGTACAGAGATAAAAATCAGGAATATGATAAAAATAACTCACTTGATTACTGTCTCATCTATTCATACACTCTCCATTTCTCTGCACCTAAAGTAAAAGTAACTAGTTTGAGGCTGAATTTTTCCATACAAGGGATTGAACCCAGGGCACTTTACCACTTAGCTACATTCCCAACCCTTTTAATTTTTATTTTGAGACAGGGTCTTGCTAAGTTGCTTAAGTTCTCACTAAATTGCTAAGGCTGGCCTCAAACTTACAATCCTCCTGCTTCAGCCTAAACAGCTGGGATTACATGTATGTGACACACACCTGGCTTTTTTATTTTTTTGAGACAGGGTCTTCCWAAGTTGCCAAGACTGGCCTCAAACTTTTGATCCTCCTGCCTCAGTCTCCAGAGTCACTGGGATTATAGATGTGTGCCACTGCACCCAGCCACATCCATATCAGAGATCTTCCAGGATTACTGCTGACTTTGAAATTTGGTTGGGAAAAGGCTTCCAGCTCAGAGAAGTTGTACACATATACTTATAGAGTAAGAAAATACTTTTTTCTTGCTTCCCATCAATCAATCTTATTTTTGTACTGTAGTTCCTTTTTGTTTGCTGCAACCTGGGAGTGAACCAGGGACCAAGTTTTCTCTAAACTATGTTCTACATGTTCACCAGCTATTATCTTTCCAAATAAATAGATCTCTGGGTAGTATACTGCAGAGCTGAGCATTCTTCCAGGGGGGGGCGGGGGGGGAATACTGCTGCCTGTCTTCACACAATCTGGTTGAGTTCCCAGCATGGCAGCTATGCACAAGATGAGATGACTTTGCAGAAAATGAACACCACACCACTTGCAGTGGAAGATAAGATCTTTTTCCATGTCAACTGCTAGGAAAGACAGCAGTGTACAGACTCACTGGAGAAGATGCCGGATACGATAGTGCAAACAAAGGGCGGAAACCACCAAGAAACAGGTATAAGATGTTGAGGTAACCTGTTTATACATTTAATTTTGTTGGATAGGAGGTCCATTCTTTAGAAAACAGAATAGTTGAAGAGATTTTCCTTTGCTCAAAAATATGTGGAAAGATATAGATTTTTGGGCTCAAGTGGTAGCGCGCTTGCCTGGCATGCATGCAGCCCGGGTTCGATCCTCAGCACCGCATATAAACAAAGATGTTGTGCCCGCCGAAAACTAAAAAATAAATGTTAAAAAAAATTATCTCTCTCTCTCTCCCTCTCTATTTCTCTCTCTTAAAAAAAAAGAAAGATATGGATTTTAAAAATAAAAACTTAGCTAAGAGTGGTGGTATGCACCTATAATCACAGTGGCTAGGGAGGCTGAGGCAGGAGGATTGCCAAGTTCAAAGTCAGCACCAGCAACTTAGCAAGGTCCTAAGCAACTTAACAAGACCCTGTCTCAAAATAATAAAAAAGGACTGGGGATGTGGCTCAGTTGTTAAGTGCCCTTGGGTTCAATTCCTAGTACCAAAAAATAAGTAAAAATTGTAATGATATATAAATGGTGGATACATATCCAAACTCACACAACATATAACACCAAGAATGAACCCTAATGAAAATGATGAACTTTGGTTGTTAAGAATGTGCTAATGTAGGTTCATCAACTGTAATAAACGTTACCATTCTGTTGAATGTTTATTATGGCCTGAAAATTGGTATATGGAAAATCTTTTTTTCTGCTTAATTTCACTGCAAATCTAAAACTGCTCTAAAATATAAAGTCCATATATGATATGTGTGTGTGTGTGTGTGTGTGTGTGTGTGTGTAAAAATGTAAAAATAAAAGTAAAAATTAAGCTGGGCACAATGGCACATGCCTGTAATCCCAGCAATTCAGGAGGCTGAAGCAGGAGGATCACAAGCTTGAGGCCTGCCTCAACAACTTAGTGAGACCCTGTCTCAAACAAACAAACAAACAAACAAAAACATAAGGGAAATGTAATTCAATAATAAAGTACTCCTGGGTTTAATCCTCAGTACAAAAACAAAAACTCGGGGGAGCTAGTGGAGGCACAAAATGTGACAAAGACAATCTGTTTTGGTGGTAATTAAATAAGATTTATTGTCATTTAAAATTTCTACAATAAACAAATTACTTTTGTAATAAGAAAAAAAACTCAAAAAGGAAGAATTGTGAAATCATAAGATATATCTAGGAGTATAAATGCTTCTTTTGGTGCTGGAGATAGGACCCAGTGCTTCACACATCCTAGGCAATTGCTCTACTACTAAGCCATACCCCAGCCCACTTGAATGCTTTTGTAGTTGATTGGGGAAATACAATTTTGAGGGGAATTAAATTTTTAAAAAGTACTATTAAAATTTACCAATTGCCCTCAGATATACCATATGAGAAAATGTTAAAAAGGAAGAAATATTAGAGAGGGTGGCAACAGAACTATAAGGAAGTATGTGTAGAATAAAATAGGATGACCAATCAGAAATTGGCTGTATTTGATATTTATCATGTCCATATTCTTTGAAGGCACTAAAAATCCAAGCTCAGGGAAGGGGATGTATAATACAGAAGCATGGCTCCTGCCTATCATGCATAAGACCCTGGGTTCAATCTGCAGCATGGCAAAAAAATAAAAATAAAAAAATAAAAATAATTTTAATTAAAAAAAAAAAAAGGACACTGAAAGTGACTCAAGTGTAACTCTGGTCACTTTCTAATATGAGCTCCTTTTGGTTACAGGCATTTGCCCTTCATAAAAAACAAAACAAAACATGAGTCAGGTTTCATGGCTACAGTTCGGGGGGAGCAGGGCCCATATGAATGAATGACTTGTAAGTKTTATACAGTTAACACTTAAGATTATTCCCAGCAATATATACCCATGATATCTTTGAGCCCTCATGGAAGTATACATAAGGGACAGTAAAACTGTAGACAGTATGATCTACATAAACCAGTATGTAGATCATACCGACCTTACAAATAGGTCAGTATGATCTACATGCGGAAATGGCAACACATATTAGTCAAGTTAAAGACCTGGAAAAGAAGTTTCCCTCCCAGCTCTGAGTAATTTCATAGTTATAATTCAGTATGAATCATTCTAGAGACACACATACCCTAGAACGTCAACAGATTAACTCAGCAGAACCCTTTTACAGCACAAAGTTTAATTGCCCGGTGAAATAAACTCTTAAATATTCAGTAAGATGATCCAGTTTAGTCAGTTGCTATGCATTTATTCCTCTTCTCTCCTGTTTTCCACCTTATAATCTTTTCACAGTTCACAAATGTCCTCATCAGAGAAAGGAAATGAAACACAAACCAGTTGATATAGTTTCTTGTTAACATTTTTGGCCAAAATGTATGGGAAGTAAAAAAAAAAAAAAATGAGGTTCCTATAGCATTCCTCATTGATTTTTAATTATTCTTGTTAACCTTGTTCACTCTACTGGGTACAGATGAAAGCTAGAAGTTTTTAACCTTTGAAAGGAAAATGGGTCTTAGGATATTAGAAGCTTTCTTAATTCATCTGTCAGAGAGATCTCCTTGGGCTAATTATAGGTCATTGAGTGTTCAGGAACTATGAAGAACAATGTTTAGTCACTGATGTTTTGGTAATCAGGAAAAGCATGGGGGTAGATTGCTCAAAACGTAGCTACAAAATTGCATATGTTTAAAAATCCAGGGCTGGGGTTATATTTCAGAGGTAGGTGCTTGCCTGCTTGCCTGGCATGTGTGAGTCCCTGGTTTCAATCCCCAGAATCACAAAAAATGAATAAATAAGGTCCAGTGGTCTCAATTATAAATAATTCCCACTTGTTCTGCTCAAATATACATTTGACAGACTTGCAAGAAATATTTTAAAGATCATCCTATTTAGCACTGTATAAAACTGTAGCCCACTGGTGTTTTTGATATATAAGTATTATGAAAAGCTGATTAMATATTTAACAATCCAGGGGAAGAAAAGGCTAATTTATAGCATTTGCCAATTTCTTTGGTGTAAATATTTCTACTATAGTGAATTTTTTTGTTTGTTTGTTTTGTACCGGGGGTTGAACCCAGGGGTGCTTAACCATGGAGCCACACCCCCAACCCTTAAAAAAATATTTTATTTAACCAGGCACAGTGGCACACACCTGTAAACCTAGTGGCTCAGGAGGCTGAGGCAGGAGGATGGAGAGTTCAAAGCCAGCGTCAGCAAAAGCAAGGTGCTAAGCAATTCAGTGAGACCCTGTCTCTAAATAAAAATACAAAATAGGGCTGGGGCTGTGTCTCAGTGGTTGAGTGCCTCCCTGCCCCCTTTTTTTAAAATTAACATACAGGGTCTCATTAAGTTGGTGAGTCTGGCTTGAACTTGCAATCCTCATGCTTCAGTCTACTGAGTCTGCTGGGATTACAAGCATGCATCACCATGCCCAACTTATGTACCAGTTTGATGTTACTGAGTGAGAAAGTGGAAGGAGATGAGCATTAGCACACCATTATATCACTTCCACTTTATGATAGATGTATGTATATAACCTTAAGAGCAGAGATTATATTAGAATGCAGTGAAACGACTAGGAAGTGATGAGGTTTGAGTACTTACAATCTTCTTTTTGAATGTAAGTTACATTTTATTTAAATATAATAAAATTAAACAATTACTCCCTCCATCCATCAGTCCAYACAGTACTTCAACATACCACTTAAAGTGGCCCTTAAAACTTACCAGGAACACATGCTCAAATATTTGTGTAGGACTATCCATCTGACCAAGGATCACTATCATTTCATTATCTATAAATTCCTTGAATTCTCGCAAGTTACAGACCATCTGCATTTCCAACTCTGTTCGTATCTGAAACAAAGATGACATATTTTACTAATCTCTTTCAAACATGTACCATTTCTAGCCCCACACCTACTGTTATCCCATAGCCTTGGAACAATGAAGACTTGAGGTCTCTTACCTCTTTGGATGTAATGTTCTCCAAATCCTTCTGCATCATAATCTCCCTTAATTTGGTTTTAATTAGCCTCTCTGTTCGTTCTCGTTCAGTTGGTCTGAAAATAGGGAAGTGATATTTCTTAATCAGGAATTTCAGTATTACCATTTGATTATGTTTCCAAATTGGCAAGCTTTGCCTCTTAAATACATATAGATTCATGAAGAAACAAAGACAAATTTGCTATAGGGAGTGCAGTTTTTAATGGAGGACCATATTCATGCTTCCCTGTGAAGTACCCCTGGGTATCGATAATTGAGCTAGAATACCAAACTGGGTAGACCAGCAGTGTGACCCACTATGGTAGTAGGTCTTCTGTAGCTTAAAATACCACACTATGCTGATAACTCATTGTGAAGTGAAAACATGTAAGAAGGAAAAGGACCCTGCCTTCTGAATTCAGTAAGGAAACTTCTCTATCTAGAGTACTTTTGTACTAGAGTACTACCTAGAGTACTTTTGTCCAAAATATTTTCCTTTTCATGACAACTCTCACACTACCTCTGTGAAGTTGTTATTCTCGTTTTACAGATTAAAAAAACCAAACATGGTACAAGACATACTGATGATCACATACACTGGCAGGAAAATCAGTGTTTAACCTGGTCTAACATTCTACTTACAGGATTGTGTTGTCTTCCTTCAGTTTTCATAAACATAAAATTACTCTTGGAAGTTTAATATGAAATCAGACTAAAGAGTTGACTCTCCAATTACCAGAAAAGTATTGGTTCAATGTAACTGGATATTTCTCTTTAAAGGCACTATTTAATTTCATGTAGAATGTGAGTGAGGCTGTCAGAGAGCACTGTCTACTTCATCTTTCCCCCTAACTCAAGAAAGGTATCTGCTCCACACCTCCTTATTTGGAGATGGATAACGGACTAAGCCTTCAGGCATCTTGCCTGCCCTTGGGGCCAACATTCTTTATCACTGGTGGCAAAAATAGCTTCAATAATCTCTAAAGATGGATGCTCTAACCCCACAACCTTGGAGC